AAGCCTCATCTTATAAAATATTGTTGTAATTTGTCAGAACCAAATGATCTCGTTCCTGATCCTCAAAGTAGACAATGACATGATTTGTACAAGCTCCAAGAATTTATCCGTAGCATTTTCCAGATAATTCAAACGAATTTCAGGTGAAAAATGACTAAGAATGGGTAAGAGGACCAATGACTGTTAAACACCGACAATATAGACTCCTTAAAGTAATTCTAGGGTCTGAGAAGCAACGTGGTCTTTTGTTAAGTAGCACTCGTAGTCACGACAATACCGACAACCGAGTAAGACCTGATATGTCTCTTGAAGATAGAATAAAAAGAAAGATGGCAATAGCTGAACTAGAAACCCGTCCACAAAACGGTGAAGAAAATCTGCGATTAGTGGTTTCACTGTTAGTTAGATCTTGGACGAGGACGCTACCAAGACCTGTGTGGATAGGCCGTTCTCCTTAGTAGTTTTATGTGCCGAACTATCCGTGGACTACTATGTGAATGGTTGTAAAGAATTATTGTGATTTGATGGCATATTCTTCAGATTCCAATCTTACACGGGACCTTGATCGGCAGTTTGGAGATCTGGACTTTAAACGTCACATAATAGATCAAGTTTTCCCGGCTTTTGATTTCCCGTCAGGCCCGATTTACGTTTATAACCAAACGTGCAACGAAACATCACAAACAAGTATTTAAATCTCATGTCCTTCAGCACCTTGCTTTCTGTGTGGGTGTAACGAGTGTAGATAGTCTGAGAAGTAATAAACTTATTCTTCCATGCTTTTTGGAATTCCTTTAACGCGCCATCAAATTCAATCCAGCTCCCTAAACGCCTTTTCAGTATTATACGTTGAAACGCCCCGCTTACGTCAACTGAAATGTCTCCTGAACATGAAGCACTAATTTATTGTTAAAAAGTTATTCCTTGCAATAATTCTTTACTAACTGAAGGAGATACTACAAATATTTAAGTCTTACTGGTTACTTGACATTTCGTCTTTACTTCTGAGTTCAACAGTGATTCACACAAACTTTGCGTATCTATGACTCCTAAGTTTATCTTATATTTATTACGTTATTTTCTGGACCTTATCGCAAAATTAAACAAAGGCGTTCAGGTTCACTAGAGAAAATGGGATCACAGATCAAGATGCGAAGCAACAGTAGAGCCAACATGTAAACCACAGAATAGAGAATGCTAGATTAATGCTTTTGGCAGTTATTTTGTGTTTTTAATAAAGCAAAAGACGACTTAAATATGAGAAAATGTATTACTCATACAGCACAACTAGCCAACGACAATTGAAAGACAGAATGACCGCCTCCTGTCAGGCCGTTCAAGGTCGTCAAGACAAAACGGCGGTCGACTTTGAAAGGATTCCCGTGCCCTTTCCGGGTCATGCATATTTTTTCATGTTTTTTTTATCAGTTCGCTTCACTCAAACTACTCAAAGTACCACAATCGCACACAGAGTATCTTCCAGCCAGAAGAAAACTGTTGTAGGGTTGGTAAAACTTAGATGTCTAGTTTGCTCAAGTCTTAAAAAAAGGCTACTGAGATGTGGTTTTCATGTATAAATGCATTCTTATAAGAATGTACAACTATGAATGAAGCTAATATGGTTGCGTCATTGTATACAAGTACAAACATGGTAGTCTGGCACGTAGATGGCTTCCTTTTGACTGTTTTGCATGACGAGCGTGTTGATAGAGATAATTTGACTTCGGATTTAACCTGAACAGAGGAACAAATTCCTTAAATACCACTTGCGCTTGCAAAATATCTTAAATAATTTTTATGTAAGGTGAAAAAAAGGAAGCTGTATGTAGCAAATGGTATGTAATGGTATTTTATAAACTAACAGATTATTATTTCATATCTATAGTCACGTCACCTTGGGTCGTTTTATAATAAGAAAGTAGGCTTCAATCGGTAGAAATATAAGGAATTTTGAAGATAACATAAATAAGTTTCTTCAGAATTTTGAGCATTATCTATCTGCTTGGATATCACTAAGATTTTGGTGAACAAGTGCTGCATACTGATATCCTGTTGATCGTCTGCTGCCATTGTACCCAGACAATCATTTATTTTTAACAAGCACTTATTTTAAGCATATATATTGCCATCAGTCATCGTTGTTGAGGTTCGAAAGAAGTGTGCCGCTCGTTCTGGAATACATGCTTGGATTACGACCATGTTCTAATATGAGCAGGCATTTTCTTGTTTTTCACTGGACACGGTGAAGCCACATTCAAAAGACTCTTTCGACTATGTGCTGTCCGACTAAACGACTCCGTAAGAACACGTTGTTACCTTTTCATGATTTCTACCTACGCTTCCACTGACTGCAGCCCGGATGGAGTGAAAAATGATTTTTACAGAAATCTTTCTGGAGTTCTTCAAAAAGCTAAACACTCGGACATAGTACTTGTAGAAGGTGAATTTAAAGCCCAAGCAGGTAGCTCAAACCAAAAAGAAAGACATTTAGGTGGGTATTTTGGTATTCCGGCTCAGCGAACAGATAACAGTGATCATCTGCTGCAACTGTGCTTAGACAATCGTTCATTTTTAACAAGAACTAATTTTAAGCATAAGGAGAGAAATCGTCTAAAATGGCGATCGCCTGCACCAAACCAACGATGGACTCAAATAGACCATATTGCCATTAGTCATCGTCGGAGAGGGTCGAAAGAAGAGTGTCGCTCGTTCTGGAATACATGCCTTGACTCCGACTATGCCCTAATACGAGCACGCATCTGCTTGCACCTCACTGGACGCGAAAAAGCCACACTAAAAAGACCCATTAGAACTAAACTGAGTAACGAGAAAACCAAAAGTAGGTTCCAGGAACAACTGAGGTCACCCTTACGTAGTTCTGAAAACGAGGCTGACCAAGATGTTGCTTGGAAAGATATACAATCAGCTGTAGAAACAGCAGTGACATCAATTAGTGATTTAAACCACAGGGTTACAAATAACCAATGGATTTCTTCAAGGTCTACTGCACTGATGGATTCGCGTAAACTGATCACATCAGGCTCTGAACACTATAGTGAGAGAAAGCACATCAGATCTAGATTAGCCCAAAGTCTATGGAACGATCGTGAGTAGTGGTGGGTAACGAAAGCAAAACAGATGGAAATGGAAGTGGCTGTAGGTAACACCAGACAACTCTTCAGACTAATAAAAGAAACCGAAATTAAGGAGTCAAGTGTAAGGCAATATCCGAAAAAGACAACATTCTTATCTTCTCTCAGTCCAGACGTTCAGGACAATGGACGAAACGCTTTAAGGAGAAATCGGGCTTGCCTCCAACTATTTCACAGCTACCTACCATTTCCAAACATCCTGAACGGAACATTGAAACAGGCCCCCAACTCTAATTGAAGTTCAAAAAGCTGTAGCTAATCTAAAACGAGGAAGGGAAGCTGGTTCAGATGGATTGGCTCGAGGTCTTTAAGGACGGTGGTCTAGTTTTAGCGATTAGGTTGACCAATATTTTAGCTAAAATCTGGGAGTTGGACGTAATCCCATCTGACTGGTCGCAATCATTGATTGTTTCAACATATAAGAAGGAGTCAAAGTCATCCTGTAATAACCATAGAGGGATTAGTTTAACTAGTATAGCATCTAAAATACTAGTCTTGATAATTATCGGGCGCCTAACTGAGACTCGTGAACTGCAAACACGAGGAAATCAGGCTGACTTCAGACCTGGTCTTGGCTACATCGACCACATATTCACCATTCGCCAGATCTTAGAACACAGACATGCTTATCGGCGTCCGACAATGATAGTTTATCTTGACTTAAAAGCGGCATTTGACTGTGTAGACCGAGAGGTTCTGTGTCAGTGTCTGTCATTGAAAGGCGTTCCTCAGAAGTACATAAACCTTGTGAAGGCTCTGGTTCTACGTTTTAGCTGACTGAGTTCTTTACTTGTCCTTCAAAGCATCCTATGATCCCTAGCAACTTCTGCCCAACGGTCCGTAATGGTTATTTAATTTTTGGACAATCTTAGCTTCTGGATCATTTTGTTTACGAAAATTACTCATATATTCCATACATGCTTATAATGTGTTTGGAAGACTTTACTTTTGCGTTTAAGCTAACTTATTTAATATGATCCCTGTCGCAACTTTGTGATACTTAATCCGTGGCTGCATACCTTCTTTAAGAGTATCTATGTCAGATATAGCATTTGATCAGGATGGTCCACTTTACGATTGATCACTAATTAATTGTGGCTGGCATTTGTGCACTACCGAACACACTTAAATGATCTCAACAGTTGCTATCATTTTCTATCCATAGTGCTTTACTCAGTGTCGTCAATTCGGCGAAAAATTTCTAAGACAGTTGTTTACACCAACTTATTAAATTTATTTAGTATGGTATTCACCAGATTACTATTTTTGCCGTGCTCACCATCGAAACTTCCATTTGACGCTATTATAGGTATTCTTTTGGAGATAATGCTTCCTTTGACCGGTTTTTCAAGGATTGATTTGTCACTGGATCCACTTCATTTAACTTCAGTCTCATCGACCCTAGTATTTGCTGTATGGTGAAGATTCGACATAAGTTCACAAAACTGTCTTGTATTTTTGGATTACGTGTGGCCTAGGTTGTCCGTCTGCCATCCAAGTAGCGAATATATTGTGTAGCAGTTGCTTATCTCGTGTTTAGGTATGTATGGACTGCGACATTCTAGTATTTATCTAGACAGTTTCATCTCACTGAGCTGAAGCCGATGGACATATGTAATGGTTCCTACGTTGCCTATAACTGACTGTTGCTGTTAGTGTATTTTTTTAACGGATAAGTTTGTAATTCGCAGCACTAAATTTACATCGGAGACATTGTGTTGCTTTGTTACAGTCACGATGTGTTTGGCTCTTAAGACTTTTTCATAAACTTTAATCTGGTTCCTTAGTAGCTTTTTGTAAGTATGGTTACCAGCTTATAATTCATTCTTTTTTTCATTTTAAAGAAATATGCAGCCCCCTCTTGTCATGAGAATACTTGCTGCCTCTGTATCTTTAGCCGATAAGGCCTGTTGTTTGATTCGTGCGGTATATGATTCCAAAGACTTGGCCATTATCGACAAAGGAGTTGACGATTTGCAATCCAGAGCTGATCGAGATTCTCAGCGGTGCATAGTACAATCCTTGAACGAGACCTTCCCGGGTCTTCATGTTATTGGTATCTTTAATGTTTACTCTAATAACTCGAAAAATAGGCGAAGAAGGTGATTTGGATCCTGGAAATCTACCTAGGTCTACTGAATTAAACTCAACTGTTCTTAAATATCAATGTCCTCCAGAACTAAAAGATTTGTCACTGGAGGATATTGTAGTTTGGGTGGATCCACTAGATGGTACAAAGGAATTTACTGAAGTATGTTTATCTATTTGATTTTTATTCATGATATCACGTAAAATACAACCACATAATAACAGTAGATGTCCATGCATGGTTTTAAACTCTTAAGTAAAATTGATTTTTCCTGTGTATGTGCTTCTTCTAAATCCAGGGCCTTGTTGAGTTTGTTACAGTTCTTATCGGAATTTCGATTGATGGAAAGCCTGTGGGTGGTGTTATCGCTCAACCCTTTTACCAAGCCAATACAACTGAGCCTCATTACACGACTCGAATCGTTTGGGGACTTGTAGGTCTGGGTGTGTTTGGCATAAATCCTGTGCTACCTTCTTCAAAATTGCCATATCCAATCAACCAAAATGCCCCAAAACTGACTTCACCTCATATTATTGTTGTTACTCGATCCCATCGCTCTACTACTCAGGATTTTGTCGACGGAGCATTCTATCCCACTGAAGTAAGCATGATTGTATGGTTACAATACAATTTTTTGAATTTCTTGTGTAGATATATTCAACACTTTTACATATCACATAGTTCTCAAATATTTGATATTCAGCTGTAATTGTGGGTGTAAAATGCTTTGTATCGCTCTTAAAATCAAATAATCGATTAAACTGTACCCTGGGAGTTGAAAGGTCTTCATTCAGAAAAATTATGATGCCTCATGATAAAAGCCGAGATTCTTCGGAAGTCACGAGGCCGATGCCCTTTCTAACAACCAAAGCAACAATTTTCATAGGCACATGGAGCGTCCGGACAACGTGGGAGACTGAGAAGACCTGTCAAATAGAAACGGAAATGAGGAGATACAATTTGGCAGTACAGAGAATCAGCGAAATCCATTGGACCCAAGCTGGACAGCAAAGGAGAGATACTGCTGTACTCTGGTCACAAAGAGGAAAATGCTCCCCACACTCAAGAAGTTGCTTTGACGCTGTCCAAAGAAGCACCTAAAGCACTTGTAGGACGGGAATCTCATAGATCCAGGATCATCAAAGCGTCATTCAAAACAAAGAATAAGGGAATCACAATGAATGTTATCCAGTGTTATGCACCCACCAATTAAAGCAGTGACAACGATAAAGATTAGTCCTACGAGGGGCTGCAATCGATCATAGCGAAGTGCCCAAGAAAGGACCTCACCATTCTGATGGGAGATCCAAACGCCAAAGTTGGAATGGACAACAACGGTTATGAAGATATCATGGGATGGCATGAACTGACTGAGAGACAGGAACGAGAATGGTGAGAGACTTGGAAATCTATGTGTATTCAACAAAATGGCTTTAGGTTGCACAATATTTCCCCACAAACACATACAAAAAGCTACATGGGTCTCACCGGATCACACTACACAGAACCAGGTCGATCATATTTGCATCAGTAAATAATTCACAAGGTCAATGGAAGATGTGAGAACCAAGAGAGGAGCTGACATAGCTTCAGATCACCACCTGGTGGTGGCCAAGATGAAGCTGAAGCTAAAGAAACACTGGACAACTGGGGGAACAGCATTCAAAAGGTTCAATACATCGTTCCTTCGAGATACTAACAAACTCAACCAATTCAAGATAACTCTCAACAACAGGTTCCAAGCCTTTCAGGATCTACTGATGGAAGAAGAAACTTCTATGGAGGAAAACTGGAAAGGTATCAAAAAAGCACCAAATTCAACGTGTCAGGAGGTTCTGGGCCGCAAGAAGCATCAATATAATGAATGGATCGCCGTCGTAACCCTAGATAAGATTTAGGAAAGGAAGAACGAGAAGACAGTGATTAACAACAGCTAAACAAGAACAGAGAAAGTCAAGGCACAAACTGAATACACAGAAGCAAACAAGAAAGTGAAAAAGAGCATTAGAGCCGACAAGCAAAAATATATAGAAGGGCTAGCAACGACAGCGAAAAAGGATGTAAGAGAAGGAAATATGAAACAGATATATGATACAACGGACAAACTAGGATGAAGTTATAGTAAATCGGAAAGACCGGTCAAGGACAATAAGGCAGGCCAATCACTGAAATCCAATAACAGCGGAACAGATGGGTAGAGTACTTTGAGGAACTGTTGGATAGGCCAGTTGTCTACGCAAGATGCACAATGTACGTTGGCAGGATATCATCAGCAACAGTTTACTGTGGGAGAGAATAAACCAGCAACTGGAAAGGATTGCATAGGACAGACTTGGATGGAGAATGTTGGTGAGCGGCGTAGGTAAGTAAGTAAGCGTTGTTCTATTTTTTACATAGTGTTCTTATGTGTATTATTATTATTATTATAATTATTCATAGAAGTAGTTAATTCAGTGGTGGTAATATATAGAAGAAAGATTGCATATAAGGTGATAGTACAAGAATAAAGAATTAGTTCCTAGAAAGAAAGATATGAAGTGATTAAATCTCTTAATTTAAAGGAAGACAGAGAGTGTATACACCGACGCCATTGTGATCGATTCTGAGCCATGTCACCAAGAGTCTCCAACCATTGGTTATGATAGTCACGCGAACCCCAACCAAGTAGTCTGCATCTACCAACATGGTTCAGACCAGAAGTTAGTGACTTCAAGCACTGATGCCACGTTTTGTTTTGGCCGCCCCTAACTCACTTCCAATTATCCCCAACACCGGTTAGCATTTCGCGTCGTGGTAATCGGTGTTCAGGCATACGCAACACGTGGCCCAACCATCTCAGTCGATGAAGATCCACAAACTCATCAACTGATTTACCATCATTCCCTAATACCCTGCGTCTGACCTCACTATTACTTACCCGGTGATCCCAGCAGATGCCAGCAATATTTCTAAGACATGTGTGATTAAATACTAGTAGCTTACGAATATTTTCTACACTTAGTGGCCACCTTTCGCAGCTACAAAGTAAAAAAGAAAGAACCGCTGTGCTGTATACTCGTCCATTAATTGATAAACGGATATCTCACCTTCGCCATAGGTGACGTAAGTTGGCGTAAGCCGAACGACCTTTCTGAATCCGTGATGAGATTTCGTCAGACACCAACCCATTAGGACTGTTCAGATTTCTAAGATAAGTGTTGTCGACGCGTACGACTACTTCACTCCCTATTCTTAGTTCAGGTGTTGACGTACGCCAGCCATGAAGCAACAACTTACATATGGAAAGGGAGAAACGCATCCCAAACATCCTGGCATTGTTACTCGGTACTACCAAAATACTCTGCATTTTATCGGGAGGTCAATCCCTGAAAATTCAGTCAACGAAAACGCTATTTCCAGCAGTAAGTCTATGGTGAAATCGATCGAAATTAGAGATAGTGGACAGCCGTGACGGGCAACACTTGAGGTTGAAAAATCAGATGACAACTTTCCATAAGCACTGAACCGACTAATAGTGTTCGAGTAAAAATCTTTCACAAGGTTTATGTACTTCTGAGGAACGCCTTTCAATGACAGACACTGACACAGAACCTCTCGGTCTACACAGTCAAATGCCGCTTTTAAGTCAAGATAAACTATCATTGTCGGACGCCGATAAGCATGTCTGTGTTCTAAGATCTGGCGAATGGTGAATATGTGGTCGATGTAGCCAAGACCAGGTCTGAAGTCAGCCTGATTTCCTCGTGTTTGCAGTTCACGAGTCTCAGTTAGGCGCCCGATAATTATCAAGACTAGTATTTTAGATGCTATACTAGTTAAACTAATCCCTCTATGGTTATTACAGGATGACTTTGACTCCTTCTTATATGTTGAAACAATCAATGATTGCGACCAGTCAGATGGGATTACGTCCAACTCCCAGATTTTAGCTAAAATATTGGTCAACCTAATCGCTAAAACTAGACTACCGTCCTTAAAGACCTCGAGCCAATCCATCTGAACCAGCTTCCCTTCCTCGTTTTAGATTAGCTACAGCTTTTTGAACTTCAATTAGAGTTGGGGGCCTGTTTCAATGTTCCGTTCAGGATGTTTGGAAATGGTAGGTAGCTGTGAAATAGTTGGAGGCAAGCCCGATTTCTCCTTAAAGCGTTTCGTCCATTGTCCTGAACGTCTGGACTGAGAGAAGATAAGAATGTTGTCTTTTTCGGATATTGCCTTACACTTGACTCCTTAATTTCGGTTTCTTTTATTAGTCTGAAGAGTTGTCTGGTGTTACCTACAGCCACTTCCATTTCCATCTGTTTTGCTTTCGTTACCCACCACTACTCACGATCGTTCCATAGACTTTGGGCTAATCTAGATCTGATGTGCTTTCTCTCACTATAGTGTTCAGAGCCTGATGTGATCAGTTTACGCGAATCCATCAGTGCAGTAGACCTTGAAGAAATCCATTGGTTCTTTGTAACCCTGTGGTTTAAATCACTAATTGATGTCACTGCTGTTTCTACAGCTGATTGTATATCTTTCCAAGCAACATCTTGGTCAGCCTCGTTTTCAGAACTACGTAAGGGTGACCTCAGTTGTTCCTGGAACCTACTTTTGGTTTTCTCGTTACTCAGTTTAGTTCTAATGGGTCTTTTTAGTGTGGCTTTTTCGCGTCCAGTGAGGTGCAAGCAGATGCGTGCTCGTATTAGGGCATAGTCGGAGTCAAGGCATGTATTCCAGAACGAGCGACACTCTTCTTTCGACCCTCTCCGACGATGACTAATGGCAATATGGTCTATTTGAGTCCATCGTTGGTTTGGTGCAGGCGATCGCCATTTTAGACGATTTCTCTCCTTATGCTTAAAATTAGTTCTTGTTAAAAATGAACGATTGTCTAAGCACAGTTGCAGCAGATGATCACTGTTATCTGTTCGCTGAGCCGGAATACCAAAATACCCACCTAAATGTCTTTCTTTTTGGTTTGAGCTACCTGCTTGGGCTTTAAATTCACCTTCTACAAGTACTATGTCCGAGTGTTTAGCTTTTTGAAGAACTCCAGAAAGATTTCTGTAAAAATCATTTTTCACTCCATCCGGGCTGCAGTCAGTGGAAGCGTAGGTAGAAATCATGAAAAGGTAACAACGTGTTCTTACGGAGTCGTTTAGTCGGACAGCATATAGTCGACCGTTAACGCGGATCCATTTTAATAGTTTTTGTTCTGTCCTCGTACTTAGTGCTATGCCTACACCCGCCAATCCATGAGAAGTAGCCATCAAGTCACCAGGTAAACGGAGGGTATATCTCGTCGACTGCCCGTTTTGGCGAGTTGAGGTCAAGTGAATGACCACACTATGATCCTTTATTCATGTTTCAACGACACAGCAAACATCAATAGTATGAGATTCTAGGGTTTTAGCCAAGGAGACCTGCTTGCCGATTTGACGTAGTGTGCGTACGTTGAAGGCTCCAATGTGTAGTTTGGAGCGAGGTTTCAGTGAACCTGGGACAGTATTTCGCAAACTAGAATCGTTGGCCATAGTGACACTTGAGGAGGAAACCAAGAGAGGAAGTTTAGGTTTAAAAGTCGATGTAGGAGGAATAATAGGAATTGAAGAGGGAGGTTGATTATGAATACATTGGTCTTGAGTGCTGTTAGAGGTATGAGGGCGGTTATCACTTCCTAGTTGCCCACACCGTGGAAGGGTTCTTCTGGTGGTACCTGAAAAGCAAATTATATTAGAGGTGGTTATAGTGACCTGAGAGCCTGACCGCAGTACCCAAGGGACATCTGCTTAAGGTCGGTCACACATGACCTTTTTATGAGTAGTTTTCGTGTTAGCTCCGTACTTGTTGAAACCTTACCGCCAGAGACGGATATCCGTGGGATAAGGCAAGGTGTGCATATTTAGGGTCAACCTTTTCTAACCCCTTCCTTCCTTGTGAGAATGCAGCATCGCTGTCACACTGGTTGTCTGAAGGAAACACCTTACTGCTGTCACACCTCTGTACAGTCAGCAGTACGACTTTGCCTTCGGACCTTGGATTTGTTGCTTTTAGTCTTACCGTTCTCCAATCGACCTGTCTGGCATGGTAGGAGCTTGAGGAACAGATGTTCCAGCTAGTATAGCTCAGTTGCTTCATAAAGATAGGCAAGCCCGACCACCACGTCAAGGTGGCAACATCAGTTTGTATAGAGATTAACTGAAAATCGTAAACCCATTAATTTACTATGACTAATATTATTTATGTGTCGTTAACCTACATAGAAACTAGCAAAATGTTTAGCTAAATTTCTAAACAATATTTATATATTTTTATTTATTTTAACATAAATATTGGTACAAAGGGGCACCGAATACATATGCGCCATACAAGTCACTTTGTTTTTGTGTGTTCTATGATACTGCTCGGGTGTCTAAACGGAAGCAGGTGGTATTCTTAGGGGGCGACACCCGGAGCCTTCGACTGAAATGTCTGATCCACAAGGCAGTCGAGCAACGTTGGGAGATGCACTCCCATGATAGCCGATGACTAATAATAGGTTAATGCGCCTTTTATTCCCTCAGGATACCGGAGCCCATGTACACCACTGGTTTGGAATTGGGGTTTTCCAACTCCTCTAGGTGGACTCTTTGTATCCACCAACCAGGTTGAGGCTCCGGACACTCGCCTTTCGTCCTCTCAATTTCGTAAACAACACTCCCGTCACGAGAATTCAGTGAGTAGGAGTTTTTTGTGAGTGGCTGTATACATGTGGCCATGTGAGAGTATTTTGCGAGGGTGATCTGATTCTCTCCACCCTCTGCCGTACCATGGCATTTGGGGGAAATTAGCAATAAATTGTGTAAGTTTTCCTTAAAAGATACATTTAAACTAATTGATCTTATTGATGGTATTGATATTAAAGAAAAGACCATTCATTCTTTTGATGTATACTTTGTTTTTACGAATGTTCCCTTAACCAAGACTTTCTTTTGTTACTGTATATCGAGTAATTTCCTCTTTTTCCTATTCGTTCAACACTGTGGAAAAATTTACTTTTATTGTGTACTCCAAAACTCCTTGTTTAAAGGTAAACATCTTCGACAAGTTAATGGTGCTGTAGTGGGTAGTCTTTTGGAACCTCTCTTAGCTAGTGTATTTGTCATATGTTGAAAGTATGACAAATGAACTCATTAGTTAGGTAACTATAAGAGATATATGGATGATGCATTAGTTATTTGTGATCAGAATTTCGATATTGCTCAGTCATTAGATAAATTAGGTAGCGTACAGAATGATATCGCACTGACCTATGAGGAAGAAAGTAATAACAAATCACCCTTTTTTAGACGTACCTTTGAGTCGATGGGAGGTTGGAATTATGATGCGGTCAGTATTTAGGAAACCAATCTGGACTGATCAGTATTTAAACTTCCAAGTTTTATCCGTTGTAACACGAGCGAAGTTTGGTAAGTGCCTCTCTAACAGCACCCAAAGAATATGTGCTGCAGATATGTTTGAAGAAGCAAAATTGCTGACTGACACACTGATATCAAACCGTTATCCACTGAAGTTTACAAATAAGTGCAAAAGTCAGTCAACACCAAATCTCTTTGATTCTACTTCGAAGGAAAGTGTTTACATATCTCTACTATCTAGAAGTGAATCCAACAGTATAATTTTAGGACAGAAACTAAAATCAGCCATCGAAGACATATTACGCTGCTTAACTGATCGTGATAGGAGATATTAATCCCATAATTCCAGGTAGACCTAGATATTGCACGAGTAATGCGATGATTTCCCATTCTTTCCATACTATGTTGATTTTCTCTTTAAAGTATTACTTTGTTTACTTGAACCGTCATTTATTTGACCCTTATTAATTTTCACTTAAGATTCCTTGACAAGTATGTGTAACTAAATTGTCCGAAGTATACACTTCAAATACGAAACATTTTTCAGATCAATTTCGTCTTCTCATTTTTCTATCAAAATGTTGACTTCTTGGTCTTTGTTGTGTATAAAATCTTGTGCCATTCAGTAAATATGCTGTTAGTAGGATCTGTTGATAAGTCTTCATTTTTTATGTAGCTCGAAACCTTGTTTTGACTCACTATATCTTGAAACTTTTTTAATGATGCAAGTTCGGTTCTAATTTCATGTACCTGCTTCGGTTTGGGCACCCGGGCAGTATCACAGCCCTCACACATATCCAATGAGACTTTTGTGGCGCATGTGTATTTGGTACCTCCTTGTACCAATATCTATGTGTTAAAATAAAATAAAAATCTAATTTCATGTATTTTTAGTAATGAAACTGATTATTTTAAATGTGAGAGTTTATGCACAACTTTTACCCTTAAAATCCGAAATACACTCGTGCAGTATTTTTTATTTTCATAGGTTCTTCGTGCAGGAGGGTGTGGTTATAAAGTTTTAGTGCTTCTGGAAGGACGTGCTCATGTTTATGTATTCCCTAGCCAAGGTACTAAAAAGTGGGATACATGTGCTCCAGAAGCTGTGCTTCTGGCGTCTGGCGGGATACTAACAGATTTAACTGGACAGTCTTACAAATACGATCTGGATGCTAAACATGATAATCTTCGAGGCATACTTGCTACTCCTGTCGCCGATTGGTTGCCATCGTATGTTTCTTGTTTGCCAAAAGAAGTGCTTGATGATTTCTCAGCTCGTGATTAGCTTATACTAAATCTTATTTTTTGTTTATTATTATTAACTTTGTTCAATATTAGATGTGTAGTACAATATAAAATTTTCAGCACAGTGTTGATCAATACATACATCTCCCATGTGTTTATGTGAATAAGCCTTTCTCTTCCGTAGTCGTATTTCTTTTACATGATAACAATGTTAATGTGACATTCTATATCATCCATAGATCGATTTATATGTATTCAAGAGTGTGATTATTTTTTTCTTTTGATTATTTCTACAAATGTTATGTGTTTTAAAAATAACAATTACTTGAACGAGTATTTAATGTGTTCAGGTGCCCACTTATTTTCGGCTGTATAAATTGTTTTGTTGGCTAAAAATCATTATTGTAATCCAATTAATTTTATTCTGTGAAGTCCTAGTAGTTTCGATTAAGTGTTGTGATCCATAATTTTCGTTTCTGAAGCTTTATTAATTAAAAAAGTCTCAGTCGGTTCAATCGTATTAAAGCATATATTTATTATGTAAGAAATAAACAAAGCTAAATTATTATTGATGTTGTCTTAACTAGTAAAATGACGATTCTATGATACTGGTTGGTAATAGTTAATATTAAAGTGGACTTATCATTAGTCAAGTAGACACGGAAGTATTTATTTAAGTTATGGAGAACAGGTTTTCAATTATCTCGACAAGAATAAATTAGCATGCAGGTTAGATGTAAATGGAGAGATTAAGCATGTGATTCAAATAAAATGTTCATTGACTGACTTGCACGGAAGCATTATAAATTTTAAAAATTGTCTACCATTCTTATTTACAGATTATAAACAACATTATTAGTATGATAATTGACAGTTTCATTTTAGAAAAATATAAGTTTATCATAATTAGTCTATCTTAAAACCAATAAACTCAGAAAACGAAACGTGAAAACTATCCTGTATGTAACTTTCTCAATTAATTATGTTAACACCTCTCTTAGCTAAGTCATTCATACTAGTCGCCATTACAATAGATGTGAAGCATGCAAATTATCCACTCTTCTCCATCACATAAACTCCCTCATTCTGATAGATATAGGAATCATAGACCACGAAGTGACAGTATGCTGTCCTTTCAAATTTCTTGACTGTGTTCTTTAGTTTTTCTAACGAAGTAGGAGCCACAAGCGAGACACGCTCGTAAACAGATTTCAGTTAGCGAGACGTCAAACTGATACTGGTTATGATATTAATTTGATTATTCGTGAAATATGACTGATACTAAGGTCCCCTACTGTTTGCGAATTGCCATAAATTTGGGGATGATGCTGATAATTTAATAAGATTATTTGGTGAACTTCAGTGTAATGTCTCATTTAGATACGGAACATAATGGGGTTTGTGTCACTGTACTATCATGGTTCCTTCACAAATCACGGCTAAGTAATTGTTAACTCTGTCCCAAAAGCGTCCCAGCTATATACTGATTAGTATTAAATATTGTGGTACATTATGGTCTTGATTTGGTTCTAAGATGCGCTTGGATTTCATAAAATAAGTTTAAGTAAAGCTTTTGGGGAATACGGGTTGAGAAAACAACTTTGAGTCCTTGGTGCAAGTAGCGAACCAGGATTTTCAATGTCGAACGTTTAATAATTCGTTTCCATGAGTAAACAAAGTTGCGGCTGTCCAAAACGCTTCAATGTTTGATTAGTGTGCTATATCCAGGACTTCGCGCAATTTTTCTGATCATGTGATTGGAGAGTACTGAAATGCTACTTTTGCAACAGATACTTCTAGTTGTTTGAGATATACTTATCATCGTACCAGATCCAAATATCACTCACAGAAGACCCTTTATTATGATGAACAAATGTGAATGTAAATGTAAGATGTTATCCATCCTCAGTGATGAAACTAAATTTATGTCTGATGCCGAATTCGGAGGTATCAGTCAGTCATTAACAACTTGAAGCTTTGTAGGTATGTACATCAGTTCGAGTTGCCATATCACATTAGCACAGAGATACATTTATCGATTTAAATCCCGTAGTGGCAGAGTAGTGAAAGTATAAGTAGTAATAGGGAACGTTAAGGTTTGATGATGTTATTTAAGGAGTATAGTCCAGTGGAATATATTTAGAAAGAAAATAAAGGACATGGAGGATTCAGAAGATTAGAGTTTGAGAGAACACAGAGAGTGGATGCACCTGCGCCATTGCAAACGATTTTCAGCCATGCTATCATCTCGCGGTCCCCAACTAGGTAGTCTACATCTACCAACATGACTCAGTCCACTTGCCAGTGACTTCATGGATTTGTGCCATGTTTTGGTCTGACCGCCCCTAGCTTTCTTCCAACCTACTCCTACACCATAAAGCATAGCACGTCGGGGCAGTTGGTGGTCGGGCATGCGCAATACATGTCCCAGCCATCTCAACTGATTGAGTTTCACTACTTCATCAATTGATTTGCCATCCTTACCTAGTACCCGTTTCATAACAACTGCATTACTTACTCGGTGGTCCCAGGATATACGAGCAATGTTTCGAAGACACCTATGGTCAAATACTAGTAACCTACGAATATCCTATACTCTTAACGGCCATGTTTCACTGCCATAAAGTAGGACGGAACGAACTGCTGCGCAGTAAACACGTCCATTGGTTGATAGACGGATATCTCGCCTACGCCACAAATGACGCAAGTTGGCAAAAGTTAGTTGAGCCTTCTGTATCCGTGCTGAGATTTCGTCACACACCAAACCACAAGGACTGATGAGACTTCCAAGATAAGTGAAGCGGTCGACACGCTCAACTACTTCACTCCCTATCACTAGTTCGGGTGTCGACGCAACCCAATCCTGAAGCAACATTTTGCATTTCGAGGGAGAGAATCTCATGCCGAACATGCCTGCATTGTTGCTTAGAATGGTCAGCAGACTCTGCATTTTGTCAGCGTCTTCACCAAATAGAACTATGTCATAGGCATATTCTAAGTCAACAAGTGGATCTCCCGGTAGAAATTAAACCCCTGGAAAGTCAGATGTGGAAAGTGTTATTTATAAAAGCACGTCAACAACAAAGTTAAACAAGAATGGAGAGAGTGGACAGCCCTGACGAACACCACTTGAGGTAATCAATTCTGATGACAGTTCGCCATATGCTCTCACTCGACCAGTTGTGTTCGAGTAGAGAGCCTTTATAAGGTTAATGTACTTCTTTGGTACTCCTTTCAGTGACAAACACTGCCATAGAACCTCGCGATCAACAGAGTCAAATGCCGCCTTAAGGTCGAGAAATACTACGATTTTGGAGCGTCTGAATGTGTGTCAATGTTTCAGGACCTGACGTAGTGTGAATATCTGGTCTATACAACCACGTCCAGGTCGAAAACCAGCCTGGTTTTCTCTGGTCTGCTCTTCATGAGCTTTGGTTTGACATCGAAGTATTATTGAAGCTAATATTTTAGACACTATATTAGTCAAACTAATTCCTCTGTGATTGTCACAAGAAGACTTTTGTACTTTCTTATAAACTGGCATAATCAGTGATTGTGACCAGTTAGATGGGATTACGTCCAGTTCCCAGATTCTACCTAAGACCTCAGTCAATCTCGCTGCTAATACTGGACCGCTATCCTTAAAAATCTTAGGGGTAAACCTGTCAGGGCCTGCTCCTTTCCCACGCTTCAGATTTCCTATAGCTTTTTCAACTTCGTAAAGAGTCGGAGGACTTACATTAACTTGCCATTCAGGTAGACTGGAGATCGTGGGAAACCGAAGTGTGGCTGAAGGCCAGTTGGACTGATCCCTAAAGTGTTGTGCCCATCGGTCCAATCTCCTGGATTGAGAATGAATAATATGTCCATCTTTCTCTGAGATTGTTTCGCTAACAGTTGGGTTCCTAATACCGGTTTCCTTAACAAGTCTGAACAGTTGCCTGCTGTTACCTATTGCCGCTGCCTTTTCCATCTCTCTTGCTTTCGCTACCCACCATTGTTCACGATCTTTGCGTAGGCTTCTGGTCAGTTTACGCTTAAGCTGACTCCGCTCTTCGTTATGTTCAGAGCCATATGGAATGAGTTTTCGAGCATCTATCAGTGCGGTAGATGCTGCTGAGATCCAGTGTTTCTCCCTAACCTTGTGGTTTACCGTACTTGCAGACATCACTGCTGTTTCTACAGCTTTTCGGATGTCATTCCATGCTGCCTCGGGGTGGGTATCACTTACATGGCTGCCTAACTGTTTTTCTAGATGTTCTTGAAATATACTCTTAGCTTGACTATCATTAAGTAGGACCCTAAGGGGTTTCCTTGCAGCATGTTTCCTACGTCCAGTAAGACGTAGACAAATACGCGCTCGCACCAGAGCATGATCTGAGTCTAAGCATGTGCTCCAGAATGAGCGACAGTCTTCTATCGAGCCCCTCCATCGGTGGCTGATAGCGATGTGATCTATTTGGGTCCAACGTTGGGACGAATTAGGGGGTCTCCATGTCGAAAGATGCTTTTCCTTATACTTAGAGTTAGTGTATGCAAGAAACAGGCAGTTGTCTGAGCATAGCTGCAACAGACGGTTACCATTATCTGTTCTTTGAGCCGCGACAGCATAAGATCCACTCAGGTGTCCTTCCCTTTCGCTTAGTTTACCTACTTGAGCATTGAAGTCACCAGCCACTATTACTACATCTGAACGCCTAGCTTTTCGGAGAAGGTCAGAAAACTTTCTGTTAGACTCATCTTTTGCATCATCTGAGCTGCAGTCAGTGGGAGAGTAGGCAGAGACGACGAAGAGGCAACGACGAGTGTCCCTATATTTCTGAGTCCTTACTGTTCCGTTTAGTCGGACAGCGCACAAACGACTGTCTACTGGGATCCAGTCTAAGAGAGCTAGTTCCGCTCTAGGACTCAATGCTATACCTACGCCAGCGAGGCCATGGAAAGGAGCATCAGGGCTTCTAGATACACGAAGCCTGAATCGAGTTGGTTCGTTACTTTGACATGGTGCGGTCAAATGAATGACACTACTCGGATTCTGTA